ACAGCGTAAGGCAGGTTGTGCCAGAGTTTCCATTCAGAATGCTGCGCTTCATGTGGAGCATGCAGACTGGATAAAATGTGAGGGGAAGATTTAAGCTGGTACCATTGGTTAATATATCAATTGATGGCATATTCTCTGCTCACACTGAAATAGCCCCAGGAATACACATGGATATAGAGAGTGTACATCATCTCAAAAGCAATTAAAATAATACGTATTTTGTCTTCCTGCTTTTTCAAGCGCTTTAAATTAAATGAAACAGCATGTTAAAGAATCTGCAGTAGCACTTTGCTTTACTATTTACAGCTTTGAAATATGTTTGAAAGAGCATTTCAGATGAGCTAATTTTTTCTTTCTTTCTTTTTCAATTGGAAAGGCAGATTTACCGAAAGAGGGAGATACAAAGATCTTCTGTCCTCTGGTTCACTCCCCAAGTAGCCGAAGCAGTTGGAGCTGAGCTTATCCAAACCCCAGCACATGCAAGGTGAGTATTTTAGTCTCCAGACTACACACTGTGCAGTTTATTTTGTGTTCATAAGCACAGTTATTCAACTGGATTTTTTGTAACTAGACTCAGTTGCAGGTTAGAAACACTGGCCAGTCAGCAACATTTTTTGTTTATTTGTTTTTGTTTCCTCCTCAGTAGCTTATAGGATTTTTTTATTTCATTTTATGAAACAGTTTTTTATAGGCTCCATGAACTGGATGAGGAGCTGTAGATCGATCAGCTCCTTGCTAATCCCGGCTGAACTTGAAGGGAGGGCATTGGAACTGGCCATAGAGGTACCTGATTGGCGTTCTTTCAGCATCATTTGTCCAGTGGAACCTGCAAAAGTGCTGACAAGGGCACTTCTTGCTCCTAATGACATGGTGGCCTCTAGGAGAGACCCAGCGAGGTACTGGGAGACAGAGGTCCACTGCAGGGTGGCATGGTACCCATACACAGGGTCTTGAATACACTGCTTCAAGCAGGGACCCACGCTGATCCTGCCAATGGCTGTCTCCAAGACTGGGAGCTTTGTGAAGAAATGGAGAAGAGATCCAACTGTATTTTCTGTTTCTTCTTCTCCTCACTGCATTGTAGATCAGAGCCCACTAGGCTTCAGGCCGATGTTGGCTCCCACCTTGCCTCATCTCTGAGAAGGAAAGGGGTTCCCTCACTCTCCCACCCAGCACTGAGTGACCGTTTCTCTTCTGCTCAGTGTAACTCCAGGCAGTCCTGCCAATGCAGCCAAAAGGCAGAGTTCTCACAATCGCTCTTGTCTCGGTACATGCAGATTTCTTAACTTCTCTGTCATTTTTATAAAACCTCCTCACCAACAAAGTGGACCATTTTTTCTTGCTTTTAAAAAAAGTCTTCTGCATCATCAAAGTTTTCAGGAAAATGTTCAGAATGACTCAAAAGGGTTAAGGCAGGTGTGGACTGTGAGTAAAATTCATGCAAAAGTGATCACTTGAACACACCCTGCCAACCTTCTGGCAAGCACCTTCAAAGCACAAGTACTTTTCATTTAAGGTGTCATAATGATCACACGGCAGCTGTCCATTCTGATTATCATGGTTTTGGGTCAATTCCGTCAGTTGACAAGCATATGCCATATAATTTTTATTTGGCTCCCCCTCAACACCAGGCAGTGGCATACAGTTTGCACAATCATCCAAGGTTAAGTTTTCTGACAGGGGACAGAAAGTGTCTGCCATTCTTCATTGCGAGCATGTCCCATGCATAGAGTCCAGATAAATTGAACAGTTTCATTAGGAGACTATCCCTCGTCTGAAAGTAGAGCTGGCAGAATATCATCCCTTCCAGTGGAAAAAAAAAATAGATTAGATAGACAGAGACCATTAAGGAAAGCTTAGAACAAAGAGCTTATAGGATTCTTTGTTCTAACTGCAATTTGGAGGAGCAGGAACAAAGGTTCAGTTGGCTAATTCTCTACCTGTGATGCCAGCATCCCATATGGGTGCCAGTTTGTGTTCCAGCTTCTCCACTTCCAACTAGCTACCTAGTTATGGCCTGGGACAGCAGTGAAGGTTGGCCCAGAACCTTGGGACACTGAAGCTGTATGGGAGACTCAGAAGAAGCTCCTGACTTCAGCTCAGCTCAGCTCTTTCTCTCTGTCTCTCCTTCTTTGTTCAAATCTGTTTTTCAAATAGAAAATAAATCTAAACAGGAAATATAACTTGGTGTCTATAAACATTAATTAATTAATGATATTAATTCTGGTAATTATAACGTTGTGGAGCGCATGAGCAGTCACACCAGACAAAGGTGTAAGATGTTAGGAGGGGTCTATATTATCCAGGCTTGGCGATGGCAGCTCCTGCTACCCTCCAGGAACCACCGCATGGCCAAACTCAGGGGTTTTAAGCTCTCATTGACATGCAGCAGCCAGGGACTTCAGTCAGCTCAGGTGGTGTAATTTTATATCAGGTATTAATGAAGAAGACTTTTTGGTCATCATTAAGAATTTATCTTGTATTTGTTCTCTTGTATTCCCAGGACGCACATGTTGCACCATTTGCAGTTGTGCTGTGTGTGCTGTTCCTTGTCTTTGCATATTATGTTTTTTATTTTCTTCTTTATTTTCATTTTTGTATGTTTCTGTTGAAATGTTCTTCAGATCAAATATTTTTTTTTCTGTTATGCACATTCCACTAACAATCTCACAAAAGGGATTCTTTATTTTGTTACATTTTGCTTAATGTCTAACATTCCTTTTTGGTACTTGTTCAGGATTCTCTTCCTCTGTTTGTTTTCTCCACCTATTGTATGCTGTTTACTTTGTCCAATAGGAATCTTGGCATGTTAATCATAGTATTTAAAATTCCCAGCCAATTTCAACAACCGGTTCATACCTCAGTACATTTTAGATGCTTGCCCTGTGTTTTCACATCTTTTTTATGAATTGATTTTTTTTTTTTTGAGAAATCTTGAGTAAAAGAAACTACTTTAAATCATCTTCAGGCATGTAGAAAGAACAAAGTTGGTAAATCATGATTAGATTAGTCTTTTAATGAACCTGCTGCTCTTCTTCTTTTTTTTTTCTTCTAATGATTTATTTATTGATGTGAAAGATAAAATTGACTAAGAGGGATCACCAATCTGCTGGTTTATTCTCCAAATGTTCTTCATGGCAGGGACTGTGCCAGGCTATAGCCAGGAACCAGGTCTCCTAACTCTTTGATTTATCTTTTGCTCTTTTCGCAGCCATATTACAGCAGGGAACTGGACCAGAAGTAGAACAACTAGGATTTCAACCAATTCTCATATGGAATGCCGGCTCTGTAGGCAATGGCTTAATGTGCTGCGCCACATTGCCTATCCCATGTCTGTGCTTCTTGACTAAACAACACAGGACTTTTTAGTTTTCCACCTTGGCTCTCGAATGGTATATTTGCTGAGAGCTTAGTGCAGCCCCTTCCTTCCTGTGAAAGCCTAGAAAATGTTGAATTGGATATTTCCCTTCCATTACAGGAAATGGTAAAACCAGCTGGAGGTGGTTATTTCTACATGTCTGAGTCTGTTAGACTCTCTGAAAGCCCTAGCTGTGGTCAAAAATTTTCTCTAAAGATAGAAGACAAAATGCTTTGCTGTATTTCATAATAACTCCTCTTACCACCCTCTGCTAGAAATATAAAAGAATTTTTCTCCACTATTTGTGGGCCACCCTGGTATAACATCAGGAGGTAACACACAAAGGTTTTGGGGTCTCTGGCCACCATAACCACCTGGGATTTTTAACTCTCAGAATTGTACACACTCTGTCTTCAGCAATCATGACTTACATTTAGGTTTCTACTCCATCTCTGATTCAGAGGGTGGTTTCTTACTGTGGGTTTCTACCATGGAAAATTGTGATTTTTATTTTCTGTTATAGTCCTTTCATAACATTTTGTGAGATGGTAGCTTTCCGTAACCTTTTCGCTTATAAATATAGGAATATTTTTTTATTTTTTACAGTTTGTTCAGTATTATTAATGAAGAGACTCTTCCAATATGCTTATATGCCGAAGTGGAAATCAAAGTTTCTGAGATAGTTTCTATGAATTTAAATTTAGTAATACTATTAGCTTTCTTTCATGAATTTTATTTCACTTTTGTTCTATCTCTTCAGACTATAATTTTGGTTTATATACTTATTTTTTTTTATTAATTTTCATGTACGATGCAATATAGGTTTAACCCTGAAGATTTTAACAATTATGTGTAGACAATGGATATAGAACCAGCCACTGTAAATTTTCGTTTTTTCATTACTTAGTTGAATAGTTTTCTTTTATAGGTGCCAATCGACTGCTGAGTATAGAATGTTTTTCCTGTGTAATTCAAGTTTTTGATTAATCTTAAATCACTATTACAGTTGGTTGCCACAATTGTAAAATAAATTTAAATTCATACTACATTAATTTCCATAAATTTGACCTAGGTTTGACATGGTATAGTTAATGTTTAGGTGAGCTGGATCTTTGTCTTGTTTTTCTTAAGATTTATTTATTTGAAAGACAGAGTTTAAGAAATATAATCCTCTTGGTTCATTCCCAAGTGTCTACAGATGACACTGTGCTGGGCTGAGCTAGACCCATTGAATCCAGGAGCTCCATCTGGGCAAACCTCTGCCACTTTTCCAGGTATATTAGCAGGGAACTGGTTCTGAAGTGGAGCAGCTGGGGCACAAACTGGCTCTTGTGTGAAAACCAGCATCACAGGCAATGGTTCAACTCTCCAGGCCACAGTACAAGCCCTCAAGTGAAACTCTTGTATTCCCATATAAAGATGCTGTCTCTTTAATTACTGATTAGATATCCTCACTTTTCCAGAATGCGCTAATTGTATTCAGTACCAGGGCAGATGCTAAGTCCCCACCCTGTTTGCATATTCAGTAGAGTACCAACTTCTTCCTTATAAAAAGATGTGGAGAGGATACATGAGCTCTCTTTCTACCAAGAACACTTACAAGTGTTAACTCTTAGTTTTGCTGTTCCCACTGCAGAGCGTACTTGATCTACCATTCTCATTTGCACCCTCCCACCGCAGAGCTTAGAGGAACCTTCCCCACTCTTCAGGTCTACCACTCTTCAACAGACCTTCTGAATTACAGGTATTATTTTCTGTTTGTTTTTTGCTCTGCTTTATGGGCAAATATTTGTCCCACCCATGTTGGTTATTTATGTAGGGACACCCAGATTTACATGTAAATATGTTTACTCCCTCACTTCCAAATACATTCTACTCTTATTTACACATTACTGGTTTTTGCTGAGTATTTCTATCTTTGCAGGAGGCAAGAATTGCACTTTGTGTTGAACAGTTGATTTTGATTATCTGTTGGAATGGGTAAAAAAATACTATTAAACATAGCCTCAAGGAATTGAAAGAATGTTCAACAACCAAAATCTTGTATACAGTTACCTTGAAAGAAATTTTGACAATTTTTAACTAAATCTACTGATACATACTATATGGCCTACCTTGGGCATCCCTTTATATTTACCCAAGCAAGATAAAAAACAAAACATTAAGAGTTCAAGAAGAATTTGAGATTTTATCTCACAGTACTGAGACTGTAGCGATGAGTTTGTAAGCCTAGCAAGTATTTTCCTTCATACAAAACGCTGGAGCATAGTCTTTGTGTTTGCTCTGCCTGTACTTCCCATGACCAGTGTCTCCTTGGTAATCTTTATTCTTGGCACAGAGCTGGTGTACCAAAATCCAAGCTCCCTGGTTGTGGATATTTGGGTGGATCCACATATCTGGAATGACAGACCTCATTTACTCATTTACATAGTTTTTTAAATGTCATTTTCCCCTATAATGTCTACACGAACCACTGTATATAAAATTGTGAATAGTTACCATAATTGTTCCCAGCTCCCATTTTCTCCTGCATATATTTTCACCATTTTCCTTACTAAGCTACTAAGCCAGAATTTCACTGAACTGCATTGTAAGCCAAGTTACAGAGTTCTCTCTTATTTCCCAGTGTTGTATTCCTGGGGAAGAGACTATTTTTCTAGCACAAAGAAGGGAACCAGTGTCTGCTGTCGGTATACAATATAAAATTAAGTATAAATTAAATGTGCCTGCCTACCTAAGGTAGCTTTAGTCAGTAAAATGTTTTGAATGTGCATCAGCCTTAACAAATGTACAAGGCATAACATAAATTACTCTCTGCCTTCCACTTTTTGACAGTATATTTCTTGCATAAATTTTGCTTTTTGGAGTGGATAGGAAGCTGTAATATGATCTACATAGAAGAAGTGATATTTTCAGCAATTGAACACACACTCATGTCTACAGAAGAAAAATTTTACCTTAGTTACATTTTACATTTTCTTTTTATAGTCTAAACATGGTTCCTTTTTGTGCATTGAGAATATGGTATGTAAATTAAATAATTATATTAGAGAAAAGTATGTTTACACTACTGGTGCCATAGATATTTAAAGTTATCTTTTACTTGAAGTATGAATTTGGGAAACAGTAAAATTCATGGTTAAGTTTATATAATTAAGGTTTAAATATTTTTTATTCTATAAGTAAGATTTGCATTAAGTATTACTTCTTTTTTATATTACTTTATAATAACATTTTAATTTACATTATTGTCAAAGGTTTAATGTTCCAATACTCTACTAAAGAGTTCAAAAACTAATCAACAAAAGTTTTTTTTTTTTTAATAGCCCATCCTATATTGTGGCAGAGGCTACAAAAATAATCAAATAACAAGATATCATGTCAATTTTACTTCCGTACTGTAAATTTTAAGGTAATCACATATTGTTAAAAGTAATGTAGCATACCTTAACAAATTGACAAATATATAAAGCAAAGTCTGACACAAGTGCATTTGTAGGAAACTGATATACTGTATGTTTCCTTAGTGTATTACTGAGGCCATAACTAAACTTTTAATGCTTCAGTTTCTTCGTATTTTGTTATATGAATGACAGTATACAAGTCAGCATATTGTTGCTCAGAGCATGGTAGTTGTCATCTTCTTAGCAGATTGTGAAAAAATCTTGACAGTTAATGTATTGCTTTTCCTCAGCCTGGCTGTGGCCCTTGTAATTGCTTGACTATTTAGATTCTACCAGAGCTTCTGTGTATTTATCCACTCATCCCAAAAAAGAGTTTTTGAGAGGTGTAGACAGCTGGAAGCAGTAGGTTGTCTCAGAGTCAATGTTAAAATTCCAGTCTGAAGTAATCTTTTATCTTGAGTTTTTGTGATCTGCATGGTTGAGCTCAAAGGGACTGCCAAGACTGAAGCATTAATGCTCCTAAAGCATCGTGGTATTGTGATCTATGAATGCATTCTGATAACTGTAATAAATGTTATTATATAGTCAAGTGCTGATGAAGTGCAGAGGAAAAATTACGCTGGTAGGAATACCTAACAGAATTGTAAAGTGTTCATGAAAATTCACAGGAAAGACAATTTTATTGTATGTCTCCTAGCTCTGTAACAGTCTGTTGAATTTCCTATCATGAGTATTATTTGTGCACAGCTATTCCTTTGAATGTCACATAAAGACATGAGCAATTAATATGCATAAGGTCCTTTGAAAACAACATGAAATAGAGTCAAAGAGTCTAGATTTCATCTAGCTGAAAAATTGTGTGACATCTGTACTTTGTATGTTCTTATAAAATTCTCACTAATACCAATGAATTTTATGTATACACACACATACATACTACATGTTGAGTGACAAAATTTCTAGTATATAGTAAACAAAAAATTCTTCATTCTGTAAGTGTGTATAGAATTAATATGACATTGAGGGCTTATAAATAAATATTTATTGAATGTTATAAAGGGACTACTAAGGGATTTCAGGCATTTCATTTCTTTTCCTTCACATTTGGTCAAAATGCCTAATAGAGAGATGACTGTCCTTTTCTGCCCTATATAAATGGAAAGAGCTCAAGTACCTGTTGAGGATTCACAGGAGAGCCTTCAAGGAAATTAAAAGGCTGGAAAATTAAATATATTGTGTAAAGGTTAAAAGAACTTGAGTTAGAGGAAGAGAGTGAAATTGAAGCATATATGGCTTATGTAGAATATAGGACACTGGAGAAATACTCCTACTATAGTATTGCTCTACCTACTACATTAAAAATCAACATAAGAAAACAGATACAAAAATAGTCATAAAAGCTGAACAGGAATTGGTTTTGTGATGTTTGTTACTTTATGTAGTTTTGGAGTTTTTTTTTTTTCTTTTAATGTTTAGGAAAGCTTGAGTTGGTAAGGCCTTTGGTAACCTAGCTTACCTAATGGCCATATTCACTCCAGTCTCTGAAGGGTAGAGAAATGAATTGCACTAAGAAAGAAAACAATAACAGAAAGGGGACAAAACAAAAGTGAAAAAGAAGAAATAAAATGAAAACCTCATTTCTACATTTTAAAATGTAGATCCCCTTGTATTACAGCTCTTGTATAAGAAACCCAAGCAGAAAACAAGTGAAAAACACCTGGTTGCTGTGAAGCTGGCATGTATCTCCATTTTGTCTTCACTTTAACTGTGGTATATTCCATATATATACCATATATATCTTTAAGATACGACATATACATATTCAATCTTTAAGATACCATATATATGCCAAATATGCATGTACCAAATATATGATATATCTGATGTATCATATATATGTAATAAAATGAATGCTTACAAACAACAGGTAGATAAAAATCGCATATATGTGTACATGCCTGTCTTGTGTAAATAATGGGCTTTGAATAAAACATGAGTTTGCATTTTAAATGCATTTGGTTTTTAAAATAATGTACCTCAGATTCATCTGTGGTCAACCTTCTTGGTGAGACAAAAATTGGCTGAAATCCATATTATTGAAAAAATGTTGAAAATTGTATTTTGTGAGAAATGTCCTGATTTTTAAAATGAGCCTCTTTTAACAGTACATAAATAATGTTTAAAAATGCTTTATCAAAATATAGATGTGATCTTAAATGTTGAGATTTTTATTAATATGCAATATTTTGCATTTTTTGATCCAATAGTAGAAAAATAAAATAAAAGTGAATATGTGACTTAGAAACATGTATTTTTAGCTCTCTCAAAGACTTGCAAATTCATTTATTATTCAGGTACCCAGGAGAAAAATTTAAAATAAAGAGAATAGTTTTCTTTGAGAATATATTTAAAGGATTGCAATAAACTAGTCTTTACAAAGGAATGGGGTAAATTGTGTAACTTATTTGTAACTATATTTAAAAAGGAAAATTAAGTTTTTTCCTAATTATAATGAAAATATTTTATTGTTCTTTTATTTCTTTCTTTTAAAACATATTCCTTAAAGAGGTTGAAGATATTTATTGATGTATCCAATCATACAGCCTGTGCAAATTCTTGGCTAAATTGTCCAATTTAGATAATCAGATGGCCAGAATTTTCATTAGCAATGCATTGTCACTGTGTGAATTTGCCAAGGTCATAGTGACCAATACAATGAGTAAATTACAGAGAAGTTAATAAGACCAAATTCCCGGATGCTCTTCCAAAACTAGCTTAAGTTAAAGTGCACCATTTTCCATTTCAGCCTTGCCCAGATTGCAGCTGCAACTCCAGCTGTTCCAAAAGCCACAGACCTTATAATATTTACTACAAATATCTTTTGCCAACAAGTATCCCAGGCCAAGTTAATTAATCTCTCCAGGTTAATAAGCTTTATTTTTAATCTAACTATCAGAATGCTGTAATTTTGTGTCATGTATGAAAGATTAGTGCATATGCAAAAGGAAACAGGTCATCCATTTGGTACAAAATCTGTCACCTCTTGGAAAATCAATAATATGTAGTCCCAACAGAAATTGAGTTTGGCTGGGCCTATAGATCCACTAATGTTAAAGTTAAGAAGAACCAAGTCAAACTGCTACAAGTAATATCAGAAATTGTTTACTTAATTAGCCTGATCAGATGTGTAAATGCTCTTATTGGAAAAGTGTTGAAAAAGATTGAGCTGATAATAATTTAACAAGGAATCCCACTACCTTTTTAAATATTGAAAAGAACTATTAATTCAATATAAACAGTATTATTTAGTGTAACTAAGTGCATACTAAATAAACTAATAAAATGTTAAAATCTTTTAAAGAGTTGGCTTTGGCCCAATGTTGGAAGTACAGAGCAATCTTGGTTGTGTACAGTATGACTCCTCATAGGAGCTTATGGGATATGGGCTATTAACATTTTTTAAAATTATTTTGGCTTTGACTAGGTGTAATTTTGGTGTCTTTTCCAAGAAGTTTTTCCCCATTCTTATATCTTGGAGAGTGTTTCCTGTGTTTTTCTTTAATAGTTTGATGGTTTCTTGGTGTAGATTTAGGTCCTTCATCTGTTTAGCACTGATTTTTGTATGTGACAGGTGCTGCTCTTGCTTCTTAATTCTGCAAGCTGTTATCCAGTTGTCCCAACAGTATTTGTTGAAGAGACCAGGCTTTTCCCCTGGATTGTTTTCAGTTTCCTTCTGAGATTAGTTGGCTGCACATGTGTGGACTCCTTTCTGATGTTTCTATTCTGTTACATTGATCTTCTTCTCTGTTTCTGTGCCAGTACCAGACTGTTTTGATGACCACTGCTCTGTAATATGTGTTGAGGTCTGGAATTGTGATTCCTACAGCTTGATTTTTATTCTTCGAGATAGCTTTGGCTATTCATGGTCTCTTGTGTTTCCAGATGAATTTTGTATTTTCTTTTTTATTCCCAAGATAAATGTTTTTGATTGAGATTGCATTGAATCTGTACATTACTTTTGGTAATATGGACATTTTATGATGTTGATCCTGCCAATCCTTGAACATGGTAAGTTTCTCCATCTAGTACAACCACTATGGAAATCAGTATGGAGAGTGCTTAGAGAACTGCAAATAAAGCTGCCATATGACCCAGCTATCCCATTACTATCCAAATGAAATGAAAAGTGCATATGAGAAAGGGATTTGTAATCCTATATTTATAACAGCACAATATGCAGTATCAAAGACATGGAAACAACCTAGATTTCCATCCAAAGAGTGGCTAAAGAAACTGTGGGACATCTACTTCATGTAATGCTACTCAGCCATTAAAAAGAATGAAATTATATCATTTGCAATTAGATGGTCCCAACTAGAGACCATAAAGCTTAGTGAATTAAGTCAGTTGCAAAAGGACAAATGCCATATGTTCTCTCTGATATAAGGCAGCCTTCATGCAGATTGTAAGATCGGTAGCCCTTTCCATACTGTTTTTGCTGCATCTCATGAGTTTTGATGTTTTTGTTTTTATTCTTTTTTTTTTTTTTCATTTTTTTTCTTTTGTAGAATTCATCCCTGGCTCATAGACTGAATGGTGGCATCATTTTCCCCCAGAGGGTTTTGTGTTTTTTTCATTTCTTCAGCCATACCTTGGTTATTTTTCTACTCCACGATGCTTTAAATTCTTGTTTTAACTTCATACGTGTTGTTGACTTTGTTTCATGACTTCTGATTTAAGGGAATGTATAGTGATGGCATTATAGAGACTACCAAATTCAGATGTGAAGATACAATGCAGTATGCATCCCCTACTCCCAAAGCCAAGATGGACTCTCAGTGAAGCTCTTGGACATATCTAGACAATAGGGTGCTGCACTGTCTGACATTGCCTGTGCCAGCAATGTCAGGACATAGTAAAATAACAGACTGGTTGACTTTTGACTGCTTATGAAAGACTATACTGTTGTAATAATATGGGGAAAATCAGTTGAGGGGTTGGGAATTAG